ATCCATACCTCTTGAGATATTTTTAAATATTGATTCAATTTACTTGATTATTGTGAGTTTATTGAAGTTTTTAATTTTTTTCCTGAATCATTCCCGATATTGCTCATTTGCACTGTGCTTGAAAAGCATGTAAATTCTACAATTTGGAAGTAAAGTGTTATAGACATATCCATTAGATAAAGCGTATTCACTGTGTTATTTATATGTATTTTCCTATTGATTTTTATATGCTTAATCTAATACTACTAAAAACTACATTTATATAACAGAGCCAAATATTATAGTAATTTCTCTTGTAGTTGTTTCAGAATTTCCTTCCTAATTTTGAAGTAATGTTATATTATATAGTTTGTTCCTACCTGGGGAATTAGTTCTAGTATCATTATGTAGAACATTTTAATCTATTATTTTTTTTTCTTATATTAATATGACAGCCCCAAAAATTCCTTTTTAGATGTTTTGTTTTTTATTTATTATTGAAGTATAGTTGATATGCAGTGTTATATTAGTTTTAGGTATACAGCATAGATTTGACAATTTTATACATTGCTCAGTGCTCGACACCATAAGTGTAGTGACTGACATATGTCACTATACGTTATTACAATAATAGTGACTACATTCCCTATGCTGTACCATGACTTATTTACATTACCATTATATTCATATATAACATTGTATGTGCACAGTAGTCTGTATTAAGTTGATGGTTGCTCAAGTTTGAACACATTCTAAAAGCACTAAATTTTTACAACCCCCTCCACCTTTTATGTATAGGACATTCTCTTTTACATCTTTTTATTTTGTGTATCTTTTCACTAAGTTTTGTAGGTATAATTGATTTTACTGGTTTTGTGTTTTAACCTCCATACTGACTTTATAAGTGATTAATCTACTATATGTTTACATTTACCTGTGAATTTTTTTTTCCTTTTATAATTTTCTTGCTACCAGTTCTGGCCTTTTCTGTCGACTTAAAGAATCCCTTCTGACGTTTCTTGTTAGGCTGGTGTAGTGGTAAAATCCTTTAACTTTTGTTTGTCTGGGAAACTCATTACCACTCCTTCAATGCTGAATGATAATCTTGCCATGTATATATAGTATTCCTGCTTGTAGGCTTTTTTTTTTTTCTTTTAGCACTTTGAATATATCATGTCATGCCACTCCCTTCTGGCCTATAAAGTTTCTGATGAAAAACTAGCCATGTGAGATTCCATTTTTATATAACTGTTTTCTCTTGTTGTTTTTAAGACTCTTTATCATTAATTTTTTGCCATTTTAATTATTACGTGTCATGACGTGTACCTCTTTGTTTTCATCTTATTTGGGGCTCCCTGTGACTCTTGGTCCTAGATATCTGTTTCCTTTCCCAGATTAGGAAACTTTTAGCTATTATTTCTTCGAATAAGTTTTCTGCCTTTTCTCTCTCTCTTCTCCTTCTGGGATCCCTATTTTGTGACTGTCATTACAGTTGATGACGTTGCAGAGGTCTCTTGACCTGTTTTCATTTTTATTATTCTTTTCATCTTTTTAATATTCAACTTGGTTGCTTTCCATTATCCTGTTTTCTTGATCACGGATCCATTCTTCTGCATCCTTTAATCTGCTGTTGATTTCCTCTAGTGGGAATCAAGACCTATTTTTCATTTCAGTGATGGAATTCTTCAGCTCTGACTTGTACTTTTTATATTTTCTATCTCTTTGTTTAAGCTCTCCTGGATTTTTCTACTCTTTTCTTAAGTCTGTTGAGTATCTTCGTGACCATTACTTTAAACTCTTTATTAGGTGTATTGTCCATTTCATTTAGCTCTTTTTCTGTGATTTTGTCTTGTTTTTCATTTAGGACATATTCCTCTGTCTCCTCATTTTGTCTACATCTCTGAGCTTGTTTCTGTGTCTTAGGTAGGTCAGATATCTCTCCTGGTCTTGAAAGTAGTAACCCTGTGTAGCAGATGTTCTGTGGCGCCACATAGCACGATCATCCCTGGGCTATCAGAACCAAGGGCTCCAGGGGTACCTTCCATGTGCGTTGCATGCAACCTCCTAGTGTGGCTGAGCCATAGTTGCTGTAGACATGGTGGTGGTTGGGGCTGGCTTTTTAGCCCAGCTGGCTGCAATGACCCAGTTCACCTGGTGTGGGCACACTGGGTAGGGTTTACACACCATGCTTTTGAGAGGTCCAACTGCAGCAGCCATGGATTTGCTGGCACTCAGTTACCTTCTGCCACAGCTGCAGACACATGGAATGGGAGGACTTCTTCCCTGCACAACTAGCTGAGAGGTTTGGCTACAGGAAATGTGGGCATGCTGGTGTGTGTGGTTATTTCCTCCTAGCCCCAGGGCAGGAGTCACTTTGGTGTGGTGCTGGTCCTGGCCAGAGCTTCCTGGCAGGTGTAGTGGGGCAGAGCTGCTTTGGAGGGATGCCTTGTGAGGCAGGAAGGTTGGGTTGGGGATGTCTGTAGAGGAGCACAGGAGAGGAACACATAGTCTTAGCAAGGTAGATAGAGAGTGCTAAAACTGGTTGTGTAAAGCTCCTGGCTATCCAGGATAGGAACACCAAGAAAAATGGCACTACCAGCACTTTTGTTTCCAGATAAATGTACCACAGATTCCTGCCTTCTGGTACATGTTCCAAGATTAGTCAATAGATCCCCTTTACCTATACACCTTGCACTTTGCAAATTTCTGTCTGTGGTGTTGTCTCAAACCAAGTTATTCAGCTTGCCGGCTCTATAAAGACACGGACTCAATTTCATATCACCCTTCTGGAGTTTAGTCCCCCCCCATTTTTAAAGTTCCCGGAGTTAAGCCCTGCTGATTTTCAAAGCCACATGTTATCGGGCCCCATCTTCCCAGTGCAAATCCCCAGTGCCAGGATTGCCCAGTGTGGGGTTTGATCCTTTTGCTTTACCATGCTTGTGATATGACTCCCATTTGTGATTAGTCTCACCAGGGGTTTGGTTCCCATCTGTGTCTCTGTCCCTCCTACCTTTTTAAGGTGGCCTTCTCTCCATAGCTAGGTGTGGAAGTTCTGTTCTGCCAGTCTTCAAGTCATTGTTAGAATTAATTGCTGTAAGAGGTAGCTGTTGCCTCAGTGTGTCTGTGGGACAAGGTGAGTTCAGGATCCTGCTATTGTGCCATCCTCCCCCCTCTGCCCACGTTCTATTTATATTTAATATTTTGCTGGTGTATATTATCCCATTGTTTCACTTTCAGATTTTTGTTATCTTGTCTTAGGTTTGAGTCTCTGTTAAAGAATATATAACTTTTTTGTTTTCCAGTTTTGTTTGACAATCTTTGTCTTTTAATTCTAGAATTTAGCCTATTTACATTAATTGTGATCATTAGTATATTTGAATCCATTTCTAACATCTTATTATATGCTTTTTATTTATTATGCTTTTTTAATATTTCCTTTTTTCCATCTCTTTTTGCCTTTTTTCTTGTTCTTTTTTCTCTATTTTATTTGTAGTTTTTGTGGCTACTCAAGAACATTTAACAGTATATTTATTACAGCCAACTATAAATTTGAATTAATATCTTTTTCCATTCCAGAAAAATATAAGCTCTTTAGAAATTGTTAATGTCAATCACCTCTCAATAGCTTATGTGCAGTTCTCTGTCATAACTTTGTTTTGATTTCTTTTCAAGATGAAAAGTAAAATAGATAATATGATAATGTTGGCTTAGAGTCATCACGATGTTCTTAATTTTTTGTCCATCACTCCATCTTTAATCTCTTTCCTTGCTTCTGGCATTTACTTCAAGCTGAAATTGCTTTTCCTATTAATACAGAGAAAATTTTAATATATACAGAATAAAAGAGAATTTCATCACCCAGCTCCCACAATTATTACAGGCCTGATAGAGGTCATTTATCTTATTTCAGTATTACCCTTCTTCCATTTCCTCACGTCTCATTCCCTAATGTATTATTTCAAGCGAATCCTAGTTTTATTTTAATCTAGAAAAATTGCAAAATATATCTCTAAGAGATAATGACTTTAAAAAAATTAACACATTATCATGATCACACCTAAATATGAGAAATAATTCCTTACTACCATCTCATATCTAGTTAACATTCATATTTCACCCAATTGTCTTATTATATTTTTATAATACTATTTAAATCAAATTTCAAACAAGGTAAAAACATGGTTTTTGACTGATAGGCCTCTTAAGTATCCTTTAAAGGATCTTTTAATCTATAAGAGCTTCCCCTCTCTGTTTGTTTTTATTAAAGAAACCAGATTATTTTTTTATAAAAGATTTTATTTTCCAAATTTGATTGATTATATCCTTTTGGTTGCATTTCACTTGTTTCTCTGTTCCCTGTGTTTTCTATAAACTAGTTGTTATACCTACAGACTTGATCTTTTTCTTTTTCAGGAATATCTTGTAGGTGATTCTGTGTACTTTCTCTTGCATTCTCTTAAAATGTACAAAATATTTTATTGTCTTTTTTTAAAATTCAGCTTGTGGGTCAAGTTTACCTTTACCCATTCATTATACAGTTCATCATCAATTAGCCTTTTACTAAATAATTGAGCAATGATAGGTTATCATGGCCTAGGTACATAATTTTAGTAGAGTTTGTAAAACAATGATATTGTAATTCTATCTTTTGCATTAATTAACTGGAATTATTTTATAAAGAAACACCACTCCTCATCAATTGTTTGGTTTACAATTTACACAAGAAAGGCAGAATAAATACTTTCCTTGTTTTCTGAGTTTTTAGATTAATTAATTGGTGCCATATATTAGCAATTTCCCAATATGTCTGAGTTCTATTTTATTTTGTTTTTTTTTAACTGAGTTTTCACATCTTAATATGTTTTTGTTGTTAAAACTGCCCCCTCCTGAGAAGTAGAAGACCCTTCTACTGATTCTTAGACTTTTAAAATTACCATGATAGTCTTTGATAAGATTTCTTGCTTTCTATTATGAAAATATATTCTGGTCTCATCTTGAATATTTTGTCTCCCAGTCCTGAGAATCAGCTGTTGTCCCAAGAAGTTCTCGTTCTTCTAAGTAGGAAATGTTATTTAAAGACCACAATCTCAGTGATTAGAGTGTTCATAGCTACTGCATTTGTCATTGTTTCCAGAATTTTTCAGTATATGAGCTAGGAAATAGGATTTATTAAATAATAAGTTTGCTAGTATTTTCAATTCAAATTTAAGATTTCAGGTTATCTTTTTAATGTCTCTGCTTTTTGCATTTGTATCCCTTTTCTATATCCTTTCTCCTACATGGAAAATGGGATCACTAAAGACCTTGACATACTTACTTATTTCACACTATTATATATAATAATATGATTACCATTGAAGTTATTTTTGTAATTTATTTTATCCTTTGGATATATTCACCAAGAGTGTACATTCCAAGTTCTTTGTTTAAATTCCTCAAAATAACTCTTATCTGTGTGGTTAAGTCCCCAACTTATATTTTTAATTTAGTAATGTGACTGGTGAATGCTTTTTCCACATCAATTGATAAAACCCTGTGGTTTCTAGCTATAGATTGAAGGATTATTTCGATTGATTTAAATTACTTTTTTTAACATTTGTTCATTTTTGAGAGATGGAGACAGAGTGCGAGTGGGGGAGGGGCAGAGAGAGAGAGGGAGACACAGAATCTGAAGCAGGCTCCAGGCTCTGAACTGTCAGCACAGAGCCTGATTTGGGGCTCAAGTCCATGGACCGAGAGATCATGACCTGAGCTGAAGTCAGATGCTTAACCAACTCAGCCACCCAGGCGCCCTTAGATTGATTTTAAAATATTGTATCTGCCTTGCATTCCTGGAATAAACCCCACTTGATCATGGTATATATTTTTGCATACATTGCTAAATGTGATATGCTAATATTTTGTTTACTTTTCTGTCAGTGTTCACAGGGGATACTGGTCTGTGACATTTTTTATATTATTTTTGTCCAGTTTTGGTATCAGTAGTGCTGATCTCATAAATACATTGAGAAATGTTCCCTTCTCTTATATTTTCTGATAGAGATTGTGTGAAACAGCTATGATTTCTTCCTGACATGTTTTGAAGATCCATTGAAGCAATCTGTGCCTAGATATTTTTTTTTTTCAGAAAGTTTTCGTTTTTTTGTTTAGTATGAATTTAATTTCCTTTTTAGGTATAGCTCTATTCAGGTTATCTATTGGTTTTCTGTTCATTCCTCTGTGGTTTTGCTCTTCTCTCCTTTACTGCCTACTTGTTTATTTCTTGGTATTTGATTTTAATTTATCTTTAGTGTTTTTGAATATATATCTCTGCATAGTGATTTTAGTGGTTGCTCTAGGGTTTTCATCGATTCCAAAGATATCACAATTTATGATCTTGCTTCAATATGTTATGACTTCAAAGGGAATGTAAAAACCTGAACACTTTTTAGGTCCCTCTTCCTCCCTCACCTTCGTAATATAATTATCTCACATGTCACCTGTATATTCATTGAAAATCACATCAGAAAGTAGTATCATTTTTGCTTTTAATTATCAAACATTATTTTGTAAACACAAAAGGGTAAGAATGCCATATTATGCTTACCTGGATATTTACCATCTCTGTTGTTGTTATTTATTTGCTTCTGAAAACATTTAAAGTTTCTATTTTTTTTCTTTGCTGAGACTTTCATTTTCCTTCTTTCCCACCCTGTCTCCAAGAGTGTTTGTAATTGCTTGCTGGAGCATTTCAGGATAGCTGCTTTAAAGTCTTCATCAGATAATTCCAACATACGTGTCATCTTGGCATTTGGTAATTTGATTATCTTTTCTCATTCCAGTTGACGTTTTCCTAATTCTAGATGTGATGGGCAATTTTGCATTATATCCTAAATATCTGATGTTATTAGACTCTGGTTCCTATTTAATTCTTCTGTTACAGTATGTAGGCAACCCTTGAAGTTTAGAATGCATGTCCTGGCTGTCCTTCATGGGCTGTGGCTCAAATGTCAATTTAGTTTTGAAAGTCTTTGCAGTACTATTTATTCTCATCTGTCCCACTTGTGTCCTACCCTGAGGCCAGTTGAAACCGGCAGCGTTCCACACCATTGTTCAGTTCTAAGGGCTTTTGCAATGTTGATTATGTTTGGTTTTCTGGGCTGCTCCAGGATGTGCCCTGGGATTACACATACTGATCTAAAGCATTGCTTTATCTAGCTCACTTCTTTCCTTAGTCCTTCCCTCACTTGCTAGTTAGAAGAGTGAGGTGATTTGCTCCCTTGCTGTCCTTACTCAGGGCAGGAGAGGAATAGTCAATAATGTTCTACCCAACAGTCTCAATGGCCATAGCACTGACAAAGGGAAAGGGAGGTATGGGGCTTGCATTAGTGCAGGGAGGTGCTAGTCAACAGGGTTCTCCGCACACTCTCTACAACTGCCATGCCGAGAGGGGAATGTGATGCATGCCATTTCTGCTTGCATTCACTTATCACAGAGGGGGATGGTCAATGGGCAACTTCCCACAGTCTTTGAGGCCACAGCACCCAGTACCAGGTGGGGAGTCTCAGGGTCTGGTGTTTGCTTAGAGAAGGGCAGCATATTCAGAAGGGATTTTTGTCCCAGGTCCATTTGTAAAGAGAGTGTGTTTTTGTGGGGTGACTTTTTTAAGAAGTTTCCTTGTACTATTTGTTTAATTCAGTCCTACAAGCATGCTCAAATTAACTTTTTCTATGTATCTCAGTAATTCTGATACTTGTTTGTTTATATTCTGTCACTTTTATTTTACGTAAAAGCATAGTAATTAGATGACCATTTTGTCTTTTTAAGTTTAAGAACTAAGCTCCTTAATAAACTCTCTATGAGTTCTGGTCTTATCCTTATCATTTAAACTATCTAAGAAATACTTACTCTCATAGTTTTCATGTTTTATGGCATTTTCTTATGCTATACATATTTTTTAAAAGATTAGTGCTAATGATTATATGTGGATATATGACATTATGTAGTTCATATATATATTGTAGTCATGTTAAAATAAAGATATAAAATATACATTTACTACCTTACTTTTGACCATTGGCACATTCAAGTTTTCATAAATTATATAATTTTTGCACGTATCATACAACGTCTTATATGACATACGTGGTAATATACATTTGTAAATTAGTTTTCACGTTTTCTTAAAGTGTTAATTTTATTTTCCTTCATTATTTGCTTTATATTTCTAAACCTCTTCGTTTTCTACAACTATTTTTCCTCACCCATAAAAATTATCTATAGCATGAATTTTTGTTTTGGGAAGAAACCTAGTAGGTTGTAGCAAAGCCTATTTCAGAAAATGCATATTAAAATTGAGGACCTATGACATCTCTCATCTTCTCTGTGGAATCAATATCTGATAAAACTTTTGCATGTGAAGCAGATGGAGAATCTTATGTTTTCTTATAATTCAAGGGAAGACAGGACTATGTGCTTGGCATGCCAGTAGTCGTCACAATTGACTTTCTAGGCAATGAGAATATCAGGATGAGTTACGGAATAGACAATTTGGAAAGAGCAGATTTAAAAATCAATTTAAAGAGTTTATATATTATATGTAAGAAATTACTTTCTATTTCTTATCAGCACAATGCAGCTCCTGTCTGTGGACACCATAAGAAGTTTCTGACAGCATTTGGAGATATTTTGAGCCAAAGTGAACTGCTTTCTGGTTTTCTAAACTCAGTACCTTAGCAAAGTCAAGATGACCCTATTAATATCTGTAATCCCCATGGGCAAATCTTTCAAAACTTTCTTCCTAATCATTGATTTCTACCCGTAATTTCATCATGTCACTTGTTAATAAGACATATGCCAATGCCCATAGGTAAAATTATATCAATGACAAAAGATTCAGGAAATCAGGGGACCTTCTTAGTATTTTTACTATTTGAAGCAGTTGTCGTGCAGAGGGGAGAATATTGTTAGCACTGAGCTACCTCTTCCTTTCTAAAAATGATAATATTGCTAATATATTCAGAAGAGTTCTTCATTTTTTTTTTTTTTCCAAGAGCTTGGTTATATTTTCAGAAGTTACTGAGAGGATTAATTTCAACTTAGGTGAAAGGAGGCTGATAGGAAACAGTAATCCATGATGCCAGTCCACAAGACTATTGGCTTTTCAACTCGCTATCCTTAGGCAAGGTACCATCTTTCTGCCGTTTGATCTGAAGATGAAAGGACTAATCTATCTCCAGACGTCAACAATACAGTCCAGGCAACAAAGGAATTGTGAAGGCTAGAAATAGCAAGGACAAACTAACTCGGTCTTTCCTATTGCAAAGGGTTTACCTAAATGCCCCAACCAGAAACTTTGGCTTACGTATAATTGATTGTCACTGTGTCACAGGGACAGCCCCACTTCAAGGAAGGCTGAGAAATATTGATACCCCAACTTAATCGGGGCTCTATTTGTAAACAGAACTAGAAGACTAGAGAGTGGAAAGTTATCTAAAATACGTGCCACTGTGTTCAATATATTTAAGTTTCTTTCATATTAGGACCTCGGGAGATTTATAGCCATTTTTTCTTATTGCAAAATGTATGTTTATGCGTGTGTATTTGTACGCAGAAGAGAGAGTAGGAAGCACATGTATACAATAACGTATATATACAATGACAACTGTGAAGAAAAATGTTAACCATTATTCATCAAGCATAGAGACTTTTGATTGACAAATTATTTTTTTTCATTACTTCTTAATACTGGTTTTGGCTTCCTATATCTTGTTCAATTTATTGCAGTGTCAGGGGAAAATAATAAAAATAGAATCTATACTAAGCTATTCTGTTTTCAAACACATTTGGCCAAACATGAAGTTAGACCTACATCAAAATTAAGATTTAAATTATTGGCACAAGACAAATATCCAGGAAATAATTTTCTTCTGTAAATTTAGTTTAGATCCTAAAGATAGTGTAGATTTTGAATTTAGCAGAAGAAAGTCGGTAACTGTGATCTTATCATATTTATTATGACTTTATCTACCTCAGGGAGCACATTATCAAAAA